GAGGGCCGGGGACGCACAGAGGAAGGCACTGTGTTCCCGCTGTCATTCAAGCCCAGAGCCGCCCATTCACCTTTGTCGTCGCCAGGAGAGTCGGCCTGACAAGGAGCCCCGCCCGGGAGGGGGGAGCGTGCACCCCAAGAACTGAAAGCGGGGTCCCCAAGAGAGATCTGCGATCCCACGTTCCCGACAGCATCACTCACAGCGGCCACGACACGGAGACCACCCCAGAGCCCGCGGATAGGGGAACGGCGGAAGGAAAGGCGGTCGGTGCCCGCGGTGGAATATTACTCGGCCCTGAAAAAGGAGGAGACCCTCGCCTTTGCTGACACCGATGAGCTTCCATGCCCTTCCGCTCAGCGACGTGAGCCGTCACAGAAAGACAAGTCCCGTGTGATTCCAGTGGCACGGGAGACGGAAAGCAGCCGGACGCCAGGGAGCGGAGGACAGAGGGGTGGGGGCCAGGGAGACAGGGGTTGGTGCTTAAAATGTATAAAGTCCCCGTTTTCAGAACGAACACAGACTAGAGACTGAGCCACAGCCCTGTGCCTACAGCTAACGAGTCAGTAACGCTCACTTACAACGTGTTAAGAGGACAAAGACAAGGAAGGAAGGAAGGAAGGAAAAGGGAGGGAAGGAGGAAAAGGGAGGGAAGGAGGAAAAAAGAGGAAGAAAAGCCCTGGCTGGTGTGGCTCAGTGGATAGAGCGTCGGCCTGCGGTCTGATGGGTCCCGGGTTCGATTCCGGTCGAGGGCACATGCCCGGGTTGTGGGCTCGATTCCCCAGTAGGAAGCGTGCAGGGGGCAGCTGATCCATGATTCTCTCTCATCATTGATGTTTATCTCTCTCTCTCTCTCTCCCTCTCCCTTCCTCTCTGAAATCAATAAAAATCTATAATGAAAGGGTAAAATGCTAATTAGACCAGACATCTTCTGGACGTCCTTCCGGACAAAGCCACAGTGGCAGGGGCTGAGGCAGAGGCGGTTAGGGGGCAATCAGGCCGGCAGGGGAGAGCAGTTAGGGGGCGATCAGGCCGGCAGGGAAGGGCAGTTAGGGGGCGATCAGGCTGGCAGGGGAGGGCAGTTAGGGGACGATCAGGCTGGAAGGGGAGCAGTTAGGGGACGATCAGGCCAGCAGGGGAGAGTAGTTAGGGGGCGATCAGGCTGGCAGGGGAGAACAGTTAGGGGCGATCAGGCCGGCAGGGGAGGGCAGTTAGGGGGCGATCAGGCCGGCAGGGGAGAGCAGTTAGGGGTGATCAGGCTGGCAGGGGAGAGCAGTTAGGGGCGATCAGGCCGGCAGGCAGGCGAGGGTTAGGAGCCAGCGGTCCCGGATTGTGAGAGGGTGCAGGTCGGGCTGAGGGACACCCCCCTCCCCCTGCACCACACAAATTTCGTGCCCCGGGCCTCTAGTATTGCAATAATAATAACAGAGGCCCACAGGAACACAAGGAAATTTCTGGAGGTGCTGGCTCTGTCCCTCGATTGTGTCGTGGGTTGCGCCCCCTTATGGGGCCTGGAAGGAAACACGCCCGGGACACGAGGGTGTGAGGGACCCTCATCCCCCCATCGAAGGCTTCAAGTCGTCTCTGAGGGTTTTTTTAGTTCATATTTTTAAGACACTTTTTAGGACACAGTGGCCGGTTACGGAGCCCTGTTCTGAGCCCCAGCGAAACCCCGAGGCCCATCCCGTCCCTATGGCTCCAAGACAGGCCGGTCCTCCCTCCGCCCCGAGGACACGTCCCCCGTCCCCCGTCCACCTTGTCCTCCCAAGAGGAGCCGGCCTCGCTGCGCCGTCCGAATGTGGGCCACGCTGCCTGCCCCTCCCCTCTGACAGACACACGGCGAGTTCCCACGGACAGCAGTGCCCGCCAACCCTGGGAGCCGCTGAGCTAAGCCTTTGGCCGGAGCCTGCCCGGCCCCTGACCATCCCTTCCCCGGCCACCCGCCCAGCTGGCCTCCCGACCGGGTCTCCGGAATCCACATCCTGTGGGCGATGCAGACCGCGGGGCACAAGCCAGCAGTTCCGGGGTGAGCTCACTTCCCCTCTGCACCTCCCCCCTCCCCCGCCCCGTGTCTAACTCCGTAAGGCGTGGCCCCCGGGATGTCCACCTGGGCTTATCAAGGGCAGCCCAGGGCACCGCTCTCATCTGATTTATTGATTTATTTACTTATTTATTTTTAAATCAAGTGTATTTATTTATAGCCCTGGCTGGTGTGGCTCAGTGGGTAGAGCCTGGGCCTGCGGACGGAAGGGTCCCAGGTTCGAGTCCAGTCAAGGGCACGGACCTCAGCTGCAGGCTCCTCCACGCCCAGTGTGGGGCGTGCAGGAGGCAACCCATCCATGTGTCTCTCTCGCATCGATGTTCCTCTCTGTCTCTCCCCCTCTCTCTTCCACTCTCTCTAAAGATCAATGGGAGAAAAAATATCCTCAGGGGAGGATTAAAAAAGGAAAAAAGTATATTTATAAGCGTCAACGTTTTTTATTTTTTCAAATATATATATTTATTGATTTCAGAGCGGAAGAAAGAGGGAGAGAAACATCCATGATGAGAGAGATTCACGGATCGGCTGCCTCCTGCAAGCCCCTCACTGGGGATCGAGCCCACAACCCGGGCATGTGTCCTTGACCGGATTCGA